CCCCCCCCCCCAGTCTTCTGGGTCTCGTGTTCACTTCGCCGCTCTCCTAGGACGCAGGCCGGTTTCCTCCGGCTCGGCCCCCATGCGGGCTCCCGCCGAGCTCGTGCATCCCTCCCTCTGTGGTCTGCGCCGCGCTCCATTCATTCTGGCCTAACCACTTGCGGAGCTGGCCGCGCGCAGAGCCGCAGTGCCGTCCGATCCAGGAAAGCGGCGAAAGGCTTATCTTTTCTTTCTCGGCTTCAATCTGGTTATGAAGTGTCCGGGTTTCTTACAGTTTTGTGGATCAAAGCCGCGTGTTCTGTACCTAAAATAAGATCCTTTGTGTCCTCTCTAAAGCGGGCCAGAATTTTACGGCTCTTAATTCTATGGCTCTTGATTTTAATTTCCGAAGCAAGGTAAAGTTTCGGACAGAACTGCGAATTCCTTGTTAAAACTGGCAGTCCCCAACTTTTTCGTCTGGTAAGCAAGAGCACACGTTTTTCTCAACCAGTGCAAACTCAACCGGTTGCTTTTTGCTTTCATTGTAACACTGTACTCTTCGGCCCATCGTTGTGCCCTTTCATCTAAACTGGGCCCTTTCATCTAAACTGGTGTCTGCATTTTACAGATGACAGCACTGAGGCTCAAAGACATGGGGGGGGTTTCCCCCAGGCCACTTGCTCGGTAGGTGGCTGAGTTTTGGGAACCCCAGTCAGTTGTGGTGGATGCATCCTAGGGGAGGAGGGTGCTGAAGCCCAGCGTGTCTCACCATGTGCTGGGCGGACATGCAAACCTTTCCTAGTGTGAAAGGCTGGAGGCGTCATCTCTTGCTTTGTGGTGAGGCCATTCGCTGGTGAGGATGCCCACTCTGGACACTGGTGAGCCCTGGCTTGCAGGCCATCAGTCAAACTCTCCACCCCTCCCTCCACAGGACACCCATGAGGACCATGATACCTCCACCGAGAATGCAGACGAATCCAACCACGACCCTCAGTTTGAGCCTATAGTTTCTCTTCCTGAGCAAGAAATTAAAACCCTGGAAGAAGATGAAGAGGAACTTTTCAAAATGTAAGTAACGGATCCTGTTACAGAAGTAGATATCTTTCGTTTGAGACGGAATTTGTGCTTTTTGTGGGTGCCCAGGCCTTGGCTTGACCCATCATTGGACCGAGACTGAAGAAAGGGCCTGGAATTGTGTGATGACTAATCAGGGCTGCTATTGCAACCCACTTATTACATAATTTATTACTGGGTACCCCTGCTGCTCTGTGGCCAGTGCTGCGGAGGGCACAGGCACTCCCTGGTGTCCTGTGGCTGTTCTCTATCCACAAAGACGTACCCGCCGACTCCCACAGCCCCTTTCCCTGGGTTGAGCAGGGAGTCTACTATTATTATTATCCTTTATTATTAGTAGTAGTATTTTGCACATGGACTTTAGCATTCTGAAGCTTGTGAATTCTTTTTTTTTTTTTTTTTTTTAACCTTGACCAGAATCGAACCTGGGACCCTTCAGTCCACAGGCCGACGCTCTATCCACTGAGCCAAACCAGTCAGGGCATGAATTCTTGATTCGTTGTGTTTAATGCACAAAACAATTACAAACCAAAATGGGTGGTGTTATAGTCACGGGTTACTTTTTAAAAGTTACTCTGAATGTGCTTCTTGGCACCTTCAGTGAGAAGCTACAAGGCATTGTTTTTGGAAGGAGGGTGCGGGTTAGTGTTGTTTTGAAGCAGTGCCTACACGAGCAATGTGTTGTTGAGATGTCTGACCTGTGGCCTATTGGGCATGCTCAGAATTGCAGGAAATGCTACAAGTTAATGAGAATAGGGTGTAGTGTGTCCCTAGTCCAAGTGTGTGGACCTCCCCCCTCCCCAAACCTATCCAAGATACTGGGTTATGGTTTGAGTGCTTTGCTTGAGGTGGTGGCAGGGGAGCAGAGGCAGTCACCAACCCTGGGACCCATCCTTTTAAGGAAGGGAGCCTGGGGAGACCAACTCCCAAGGACCTGGGAAAGGGTTGGGAAGCACAAGAGACTCGGTTGGGAAGTTTGTAAGGGGGACATTCTGATAAAAGGGAAGTGTGTGCCCTGTTTATCAGAATTCCGACTTACAGGAGTGTCAAAGGCAGCGCCTCTAATTATTCCTTGACCTTTTCCAAACAAGTCTGCTTATGCAGACCCCCGGGTGTTTACTGGAATCTGTATGCTTAATCCCTGGATGCCCTTGCCTAGAGGACAGTGTAAACACGTGTCCTCCCTAGATTATTCACCCTATTGATTGCATAAAAAAATTCCAATAAAAGCTTAAGGAGGCAGGCAAGCCCCTAAGCCCTCTCCCCCACAGTCAGACTGTGTCGGAATAATCTGTTCATCCGTCATTCAGGGGCTGCTGGTCAGCCCTGGCAGGAAAGAAGAGATGAATATGCCCCTTTGATTTCAGAAGGTGGTTCTCCAAGTCTCTGCTCTGCCCAGAAATGATGCTGCAGCCGGGCTGGCTGCTCCCACGAGTGAGGTCTGCTGGTGGTGCTGTTACTGTCACCTCCTTGTCCCTGCGGGGGTGGGAGGTCCTCTTGGTGTCCTAGACACAGGCCCTTCCTGAGGGAAGTGAGGCCAGCAAGTCTGACCTTTGTATGTGCCCCTTAGGGCTCTAGGTCAGTGGTCGGCAAACTCATGAGTCAACAGAGCCAAATATCAACACTACTTCTTCAAAATAGACTCGCCCAGGCCGAAAACTGACTTCCGAGCATGGGCTACGCCGAAGTTTCAATCGCACTGTACCTGCACGCCCGCACGTGGTATTTTGTGGAAGAGCCGCATGTGGCTGGAGAGCTGCAGTTTGCCGACCACAGCTCTAGGTCAAAGCCCTGGGGGCGTCCTTGTGAGAACATGCCTCCCTTAACAGAGTTGAGTTTTAGGGAGAGAGCAGAATTTCTGCAGAAAAGGGAACAACAGAGCTGGGATCCTGTGGGGAAGCAAAACGGGCAGGTGTGGTTGGTGATGGGAGGATGTTGGCCTGAGCCCTAAGGAGGTCTGCTGGGCTCAGGGCTGTGGTGGTGGCCTTGCCTGGGCCCAGTGAGGTACTGTTCTGGGCAGGAAGACAGGGTATTGGGCCAGAGCCTGGTGGTCTGGTGGGGGCTGGGGAAGCACAGGGGGCATCTCACAGCTGAGGGAAAGGTTGGCCCTGTGGAAGGCAGGGGTCCTTGGCCTCCAGCTGCTTCCATGCCGTCCCTGTGGCCCCACGGGTCACCAGGAAGTCCCGTACCGTCTTCACAGACACGCTCAGCAGACTCAGGTGAGCTATTTTGCTGATGGGTCAGGTCTTTCTGTTAGAAAACGTGACTGGCCCTAGTCAGTTTGGCTCAGTGGATAGAGAGAGCATCGGCCTGCGGACTAAAGGGTCCCAGGTTCGATTCTGGCCAAGATCACAGGCTTGGGTTGTAGGTTCGATCCCCCCCAGTAGGGGGCATGCAGGAGGCAGCCGATCAATGATTCTCATTGATGTTTCTCTCCCTCTTTGAAAAAAATTTTTTTAAAAAAGGAAAAGAAAACGGTGTGACTGTAGAAATCTTTTATTCTTTTTTATCATCATGTTAAAACTTGGAATTTGCTTTTTTGCTCTTTTGGTGACATTTTAGTTTGTAGTTCTTGGAGTACAAAGAAAGGAAAGGGTGTACGTTTGAGACATCAGGTACAGCTGTTTGTTTAACACCCAGAAAAGAAGTGCTTTTTCCATCAAAAGGTTGGTGCCTTTTGTCTGGTACCTTTTCTGTGTATCTAAGCTCTCACGCAATGGCTTTTCTTGAAGGCGGGCAAAGCTGTTTCGATTCGCTTCAGAGAACGATCTCCCAGAATGGAAGGAGCGAGGCACCGGCGACGTGAAGCTCCTGAAGCATAAGGAAAAAGGGACCATCCGCCTCCTCATGAGGAGGGACAAGACCTTGAAGATCTGCGCCAACCACTATAGTAGGTGGCCTCTCGGGGGTGTTTTTTTCTGGGCCCCGACACTGCATCGGGGCAGCTTCCGACCTGTGGGCAGCCTGCTTCAGGGCTGCACTGGGACCCAGGAGTGTGCCGTCCGCCAGTGCACGTTTACAGTGTGTGTTTTCTTTTAATTTAAACTAGGAAATGAGGTTTTCCAACGTGCCTCAGACCTCAGAGCAGACCTGCAGAGAAGCTTATAGCCCACGGGGGTGTGGAGACTGGGCAGGTGGGACCAAGCGGGATGGAGGCAGAGCCCGTGTGGCCTCGGAACCAGGCTCGGCCTAAGGGCGTGTGAGTGCGTTTGTGTGTGTGCTCACGTGCCTCTGTGTGTGAAGTGCCTGGGCGGCAGCCTTCCCACCCGTTGGTGTGTTCTGTCCCCACGTGGTGTTCCCTGGGGAGGACATGGGATTGGAATGGGGTGGGGAGAAGGTGGAAGCCCTCGGGCAGGTGTGACAGCGCTGGGCTCAGTGCGGTCGGGTTTTTAGGATTAGCCACCCAAGGCCTGGCCTGTGAAGAGGTGACTGAAGTCACTGTGTCCTGGACTCCGTTTCTGATCCCGGGCCGTGCTGCCTTTCTGGTGTGATGTGTGTCTGACAGGGCAGGGCCCCTTTGCTCACAGGGTGACTGCTGTCAGGAACCAGAGTGCAATGGCCCGCGGGGGTGATGTGGGGGGTCCTCCTTGTACCACAGTTGCTTCGGCCCCATTCGGCCTCTGTGTGCCAGTCTCCACGTCCCAGCCTGTCTGCTCTTCCCTGTCCTTGCCGATCAGCCCAATTTGAAGTACCTTCTCAGGGGTCTTCCTGACACTTGTGCTATTTTTAGAGCCTTGCCAGGCTGCTAGGTCACTTCTGTGTGAGTTGCAGGTGAGTCCTGGGCCTGGTGCACACCATAGGCCCCTGGTGGACCCGGCGGTTGATGGGAGGAGGCTGTGCATGCCCTGCGAGGCACACAGGCTCGCCGCTCATCTGGGTGATGATGTGATGTGTTGCCCAGGGCTGGGCTTGGCCTGTCCCGCATCCCCGGAGACCTCTGCTACTGGTAGACGGCTGGGCATGGCACTGGGGGTGCTTCTGTTCTTTCAGAACAGCTAGTCTCCCTTGGGTCTACGTAGAGCCTGTGGAGATGGGGCAGTTTGCTTATTCCAGGCCATGACTGTGTCTTCCGTGACATGTGACCATGTCACAAGGCTCATAGTGCCCACTTCTGGTAGCCTTGCGCCTCCCCGCTGGCCTCCCTTGGCATATATGGCTGAGATTGGTTGTGTGGTTCTGACTGTGCACCATTCTGGGTGATCGTCCCACTTCTCAGCTTTTGGCCCTCGGATGACCCCCAACTTCCAAAGGGTCAGGTCCCCAGGAAGGGCTGGGTCTGCCTGTCATTGTGCCCATGTCTCTCCTGGGTCTGGAGGCTGCACCAAGGGGCGGGCTGTGATCAGCTGCATTGGCTTTGGAGCCCTTGACTGATTTAGGGTGTTCCTGGTTTTAAGTGAACATGGGGCATTTTAAAAGAGGTTTGGGTAAATTCCAGAAGGCCCCAAATCATCCCTGTTTGGCCCAAAGTGGGACCTTGGGTTGGCAGGCAGAACTGCGGCCCTGGGGTGGCGGGGCCGGGTGGTAAGTTGGCTCTGGCAGTGGGCATTATCCTCATGGCGCTTCTCCTCCAGTCACGCCAATGATGGAGCTGAAGCCAAACGCAGGCAGTGACCGTGCCTGGGTCTGGAACACCCATGCCGACTTCGCTGATGAGCGCCCCAAGCCGGAGCTGCTGGCCATCCGCTTCCTCAATGCTGA